TAAAGTCATAAGTGCAAGAAAGAGTCAAATTTGTGAGATAAAAAGTCATAATTATGAGATAGAAACTCAGAAATATGAGACAAAAAGTACAATTACGAGATATAAACTATGAACTGTGAGATATAAAGTCATAATTGCAAGAAAGAGTCAGATATGTGAGATAAAAAGTCATAATTGTGAGATAAAAACTCAGAATTGCAAGACAAAGTAATAATTACCTTTCTTTATTTTTTAATTCAGTGGCAGAAATGGGTTTGCATAGCTAAATGATATATTTTGACCTCAAAACCGTTAAATTCACCAAAAGCCAATTACTTTGGGACACTTATTTATTTACCTTTTTTGTCTTTTGGCAGTAGCATGCATTCTGTACCTACAGATAATGTGCTCTAATTCAACAGTGGCTTCATCTCGGCAGAAGAAACAGCCAAATTGCTGCAGGTCCGAGTGATCTCCAGGCAATTTGTCCTCACGTACGCACTGCTTGTAAACAAAGGGGCCGCTGGTGTAATTGGAGGAGCGGATGGAGACGCCTGTGGTGTAATTGAGCAGCTGAAGCAGGGGGTTCTGGTCCGGCTGAAAGACTGAAAGCATCCCTGCCGTCTATTACCAGCAGTGGGGGGGATCCAGGTTCTGTCCCCACCGAAGAACAACATTCAACCAGCACGACGGAGACAGAGCAGAATGCCCCAGTTTGGCACCTTAAGAGGAAGAAGTGCAGAAGTGCAGAAGTATTTGTTGATGGAGAGTAAATGGCTGAAAACATCGTGATGGTTATTTGTTCTTTCTCTTTGCTTTAAAAGCTTGGGCTGAGAGGAGGATCTGCAATGAGAAGCTGATGATTTAAAGCGCACTAAACACCAGGACAGATCATTCACGTCTGTCTTTTGACAAATTGATTTGTTGCTCATTTGTACGTCGCTCTGCATAAAAGCATCTGCTAAATGCATAAATGTAAAATGCATTCATGTAAGTGCGAAAGTGTAAACTGCATAAATGTAAAATCATAAATTCAAATGCATAAGTGTAATATGCGTAAATGTAAATGCATAGTGTAAAATTAATACGTGTAAATGCATGTGTAAACTGGAAAAATTTGAAATGCATTCATGCAAATGCTTACATATAAATGCATAAGTGTAAATTCATAAATGTACTGTAAAATGCATACATGTAAATGCATAAATGTCCATAAATCACATGACTGACAAACTGAATTGGCGTGTTTTGGGTGTTTTAATCAGATTTCATCAGTAACAGGCTGTAACGTCACAGTTACATGTACAGTAACAGTTGATTGAATCACATGAATCAGTAGAAATCATCAGAGCTTCTTCTGCACGGCTCCCTGCAGACGGTTGTGTTCCCGCAGCCTAAAACACAGCAGATCAACGATGAAACAGCCTGATCAGATTCAGAAGCGCATGTTCATTCAGACTCGTTTTACTGACCTGACCGCATTGATCCTGATGAATCCAGAGGCGTCGCAGGGGTCGTAGTCGCCCTGCACATCCATACTGTTAAGAGAAAGAGCAGATCAATACAGCATGCAGCAATAATTACAGAAAATTAAAAAGCTCCAATAGACAACAGAAATTACAAATATATATAAAACTGTTCAAAAGTAGTGTACATGAAGTAGGATTTTTTTCTGTCTCTGAAAGAAGTCTCTTCTGCTCACCCAGGCTGCATGTATTTAATCAAAAATACAGTAAAAATTGTGAAATATTATTAGAAT